TGGATATGATCTAATATTATAAACTCCCATGAGCACTGGGTGTTATTCTATATGTTGGTAAATTGAACACCAATAAAAATTAATTTATTAAAAAAAATAAACTCCCTCAAATTGTTTTTGGAAGTCAGTACTTCTTTGGAACATTCTTTTTTTTTTTTTTAAGATTTTATGTATTTATTTATTTGAGACTGAGAGAGAAAGAGTGAGTGGGAAGAGGAGCAGAGGGTGAGGGAGAAGGGAGGAGAAAGAATCTCAAGCAGACTCCTCACTGAGCAGGACTCCAATGCAGGCTCCATCTCATGACCCTGAGATCATGACCTGAGCTGAAACCAAGAGTCGGACGCTTGAGCCAGATCAAGAGCCACCCAGGTACCCCTTTGGAACTTTCTTGACTTTCCCCAAATCTTGATTGAAATCCTCCCCATTATTCAAAACCCAACTTGTTATCCTGCTGCTCAATTATTATAAACAGGTTGCTTTTTCTATGAATGCATTAAAATACACATGTTAGCCGCAGAACCCAGATGTATTCATTTTACAAAAATGACTTGATACTATATGTCTTTTGAAGTTTTCATTTTTTACTCACTAAGTATCTTGGCGATCTTTGCATAGCTTTTTGACGGTCTTTGCCCATCTGTAATAGCTTCTTTGTATGCAGCTTTAGAATATCATTCTGTATGTTCAGTCTTCCCTTCTCAACTCAGTCCCTGGGGCAGAAACCACGTCCTGATGCTTTCACTTTGAACTGATGACAGACTCCGGGCATGAGTTTATTCACTAATTATGAATTATGCTCCTACTATGTGCCAGGGAGGTGCTAAGCCAAGCTCTGAGGGACACAGACGTGAGTAGAACAAGCCTCTGCTCATGATGGAAATGTTTTGTATCTACACTGTTACACTCAGTAGCTTTGAGCCACAGGTGGCTATTTTTTTATATCTAGATTCAATTAATTAACATATATTATCAGTTTCAGAGGTAGAGTTCAGTGATTCATTAGTCTTATACACTATCCAGTGCTCATTACATCATGTGACCTCCTTAATGTCCATCAGTCAGTTTACCCCCTCCCCCAACTCCCCTTCCTCACAGGTACCTATTGAACACCTGAAACATGGCGAGTCCTAACAGAGATGTGCTATATGTGTGTGTAATTTACACACTGGGATTGGAAGACTTAGTGTGCAAAAAATAAGTATAAAGTATCTCATTGATAATATTTTTTACTTTAAATAAATAAATAAATAAATAATTGTATTTTTATTTTTTTTAAATGTTTTAATTTTTTTTATTTATTTATGATAGTCAGAGAGAGAGAGAGAGAGAGGCAGAGACACAGGCAGAGGGAGAAGCAGGCTCCATGCACCGGGAGCCCGACGTGGGATTTGATCCCGGGTCTCCAGGATCGCGCCCCGGGCCAAAGACAGGCGCCAAACCGCTGCACCACCCAGGGATCCCTGTATTTTTATTTTTAAGTAGGCTCTCAACCCAACCTGGGGCTTGAACTCACGACCCCAAGATCAAGAGTCACACACTCTATTGACTGATGAGAATTTTATATTGATTACATGTTAATAATTTTTGACACGTAAGGGAAAATAAATTTATCTTAAGATTAATTTGCTTGTTTCTTTTTACCTGGAAAAATATGGCTGTAGAAAATTTTAAATTATATACATGGCTCCCATTACATTTCCAGGTCTGGTGATCACAAAAATGAGTACGTCTGAGGTCACTCTATGCCAAGCAGTAGAATAGTTCTCCTGGTTTAGGGGGACAGTCACATTTTACGCAAATTTGAATCCTGCCAGTATGTAACTTTTAAAAAATCATTTTATTGTGCAAAAATTGATCTAATGGGAACCCCTTATTTTAAAAAGTTAACTTCTTAGGGTGCCTGGGTGGCTCAGTCAGTTAAGCATGTGACTCAGTCTCAGCTCAAGTCTTTTTTTTTTTTAAATTTTTTTTAAAATTTATTTATTTATGATAGTCACAGAGAGAGAGAGAGAGAGAGGCAGAGACACAGGCAGAGGGAGAAGCAGGCTCCATGCACCGGGAGCCCGATATGGGATTCGATCCTAGGTCTCCAGGATTGCGCCCTGAGCCAAAGGCAGGCGCCAAACCGCTGCGCCACCCAGGGATCCCTCAGCTCAAGTCTTGATCTCAGGGTTCGGAGTTCAAGCCCTACATTAGACTCCAGACCTACTTTAAAAAATTTAAAAATAGGGGATCCCTGGGTAGCGCAGTGGTTTGGTGCCTGCCTTTGGCCCAGGGCATGATCCTGGAGACCCGGGATCGAATCCCACGTCGGGCTCCCGGTGCATGGAGCCTGCTTCTCCCTCTGCCTATGTCTCTGCCTCTCTCTCTCTCTCTCTCTCTCTCTCTCTCTCTCTCTCTGTGACTATCATAAATAAATTAAAAAAATAAAAAATATAAAATAAAAATAGAAAGTTAACTTCTTAAGTGTTGCTGTATCTCTAAGTTTGTGATTTGGAGGAATTACAACCTGTATCTGCTTTATCTTCCAGGGTAGGTCCACGTTTGCTAGTAAACAAAACTGGTTATGGTTAACATTTCTATAGCGCTTGCTGTGTGCCAGGAATCTTTACATTTATCAACTCATTCAGTGCTCACCACCACCCTGTGGGGTAGAAGCCCACCATCCTTTCTCAGAGGTGGCCTCGGATCATGCACGAATATGAGAACCGCTGAGACCCGATGTTCAGGACCCTGTAGCTATCTCGAATATGTAAATTGCTGGTATAAATGATACTCAGTAGGTGCTCAGAGAAGCAGAAGGAGCTGCCCTGCATCACACAGCAGTGTTCTTCCCAGACACTCTTATGTAATCAAAAAATATGAAATGTAATATGATTGTATGCCATACAGAACCACACAATATGCTGTTTTATTTCCAGAACTGTAATACATATTTATCACAAGTCAAAGAGAGGTGTTTTAAATGCATATAAGTACATTATAAAGCAGTGATTAATTGTGATAATTTTTCAAATTAATGATCCAGCACTCTGGGAGCCTGAACAAGTTCTTTATTTTATTCACAACAGGCAAATGAAGCAGAAACCGCCTAAGTCTTGAAGTAGTAAATTGTTGCCAATTCCCACAAGGACAGACAAAAACATCCTTGTGAATAAAAGAATCTTTTTTAAAAAAGTAACTCCCCTAAGCCAGGAATATGGATTTTTTTTCCCCTTAAACCACAAACATGTGTTTATTTTAACAAGATAAGTATAACTGAGTTCTAACTGCTTTAGAGGAGAATTGCAATTGTGTAGAGCCGAGGAAAACAATTACTCTCTCATGTGACTGCTTATGGCTCATCTTCTCAGCAAATACATGTGGGCATTTTGAAAGAAGAAATAAAACATTTCTGCCACTTTTGCAATTAAGTTTTGACTCTGATTGGAGTTTGACTTTTATCTTTAAATTTTGTGAACCCATTGGCAAAGTCTGTTAGATTTACCTCTAAAATGTTCCCCCAAATCTGTCCATTGCTTACCTCCTTGACAGTCACCCCTTCATACCCACCCCAGGGCCAGGCCACCATCATCTCATGCCTGGACTCCTGCAGTGGACAGGGTTCCCTGCCCTGCCTCCTGGAGTCCATACTCCACCCAGCAGCCATTATTTGAAATGCAAATGAATCCCATTATTCTCCTGCTTAAAACTTCCCATGGTTTCTCAACATCTTTAGAATCAAACCCAGATTCCTCACTGGCTGAAAAAGATGTGACAATCTTATCCTAAACCGCACTCCTCTTCCCTGGCTGTGATCTCCAGCCACAATGGCCTCCTTTTAGTACCTCATTCTCTCCAAGCACATTCTAGCCTCAGAGCTTTTACACTTGCTGTTCCCTCTGCCTGTAACACTGTTCCCTCATGGTGTTACATGACTGGCTGCTTTGTACCGCTCAGGTCCCAGGTCTGACATCACCTCCTCAGAAAAGGCTTCCCCAATCACCCTGTCTAAAAAAGCCCTGCATTGTTGTTGTTTCCTATCACACCCTTAATTGTCCTCACACTTTTCACTGACTAAATTTATCCTGTTACATATTTGTTTACCTGTTTATTGTCTGTCTCCCATTCACCTCCAGAGTGAGCTCCATAAGGGAATGAACTTGCCTGTCTTATTCATGGTTTAGAAGAGTGCTCAATAAATGTTTCCTTAGCAAACAAAGGAATGAATAACCAAATAAACTAATGAGAGAAAGAAGGAAAAAGAAAAGGAGAGAGGGAGGGAGGAAAGAAACTATTATAAGGCAGTTGTAGAATGATACAAGGAATATGATGCCTTGACTATTATTTAGCTAGACTGAGCCATATTATGTGATCTCATCTTGGTCATTTAATATAAAATGGTAATTTATTATGTAATAATAGTATAGTTTCACTGTAACGTTTGCTCTGAGTCCCATGCTCTGCTAAGTATTTCCCCACCTACATGTTTTCTCATCCTTCCAATACCTTGAGAATATGTGGTATCATTACCATCTCCACTTTGCTGATGAGGAACTGAGACTGGGGAGCAGGGAGAGTGATGAATGAGGTGTTGATGGGTGGAGGGGCCAAGTGTCAGCTTAAGGTTTTCTAATCCCAGAACCTGTGGTGCCTACCACCCATGCTGCTCTAAGGCTCTGCATGCTGAATGATGATGATCCTCATGACTTATTCTCTGAATAAATTCCCCATTTCAGAGGTCCTTGGTAACATGACCCTATGACAACTTGCTAACTCTGTGTGGGTATGTGGCAGACATGCATGTGGGGAAGCCCAACAGTGGCAAGGGCAGAGTGAGCTCCATGTGGCAAGGGTGGGACTGAATGCGGCTGGCAGGGGCAGTGGGTTGGGGGTTGGGGGGAGACAGGATAGGGGAAAGGGAGCCAGCCTGAGGGCAGGCGGCCTGGAATCCAGCATCCAAGACTGCCCTGTGTGGGGCTCGGGGCAAACCAGGCTCACTTCTCTTTTCTCTGATGCAGGATGGGGTGCATGAAGTCCAAGTTTCTCCAGGACAGAGGCAAGGTCTCAAAAACTGAGCCCAGCACCAACCCACACAGCCCTGTGTATGTGCCAGATCCCACATCTGCAAACAAGCGAGTGAGTGGGGGAAGAGAAGGGGGGTCAGTAGCCTGAAGGACTGACTGCCCCATGCCGTCCCAAATTGCCCTAACAGTCTCCTGTTTTCCTGAGGGTCAGCAGGGTGTGTTTGGGGTGACATGGAGCTGACTCTTCACCAGCAGTGCCCTAACTCTCTGGGACAAGTCTGCACCAAGGACCTAGGGCAATGACATCATTCCTCCTTGTCCAGCTGTCCAGGCCTTCTTGGCCCCTCAGCCTCAGCTCCAGGGACCAGGTCCCAGTGGGCACAGCAGAGGCCCCAAGCCTGGGCGGTAGCATGAGCAGTGCTGAGAGGAGTCAGTGACCTGACCAGTAACAACAGCAGTTGAAGTAATGATAGTAATGATAATATCAGTGCCATAGCAATAACCATAACAACATTGTAACAGCAAGACCAGTGGGGATATAGTGGCAAGCGCAGATGCAGTAAATAAGAGAAGTGGTCATACTAGTAGAGGCTATTTGCTTACTTATCTTCTGCATATGCAGGGCTTATGAGGCACCAAGCACTGACCTAAATGCTGTATGGTTATTAACATCTTAAAGCCTTACAGTAATCCCAGGTCATGACTCTTATTATACAGGTGAGACCCGGAGCTTAATAATTTGCCGAAGGCCATGGATTGTAAGGGGTGGTAGGGGCAGGAGTCAAACCTGGCAGTGCAAGCTCCAAAGTACCAGTGGTGGGAGCAGGAAAAACTAGGCGGAAGCCAAATGTTAATGAGGAAAGTAGTCAGGGCAGTACTAGTGGTGATAATGGGAGCCATAGTTGTCACGGCAGTGGTACTACTTGTCCTGTAGCTGTGAGAGTGATACAAGAGTGGCAATAGAACTAACAGTGGTGGGATCCCTGGGTGGCGCAGCGATTTGGCGCCTGCCTTTGGCCCAGGGCGCGATCCTAGAGACCCTGGATCGAATCCCACGTCTGGCTCCTGGTGCACGGAGCCTGCTTCTCCCTCTGCCTGTGTCTCTGCCTCTCTCTGTGTGTGTGTGTGTGTGACTATCATAAATAAATAAAAATTAAAAAAAAAAAGAACTAACAGTGGTGTTAACAGTAACAGAACCAGTGATGGTGGTGATGGTACTATAGCAGCAGGACCGGTTGTAATAATCTTACCATTCTTGGACCACCTGCCGTGTTTGAGGCACTGGGGTGAGGTGTTTCTTCTACATCATTAGTCCTCACCAAAAACTGAGAGGCAGGAGGTATGGCACTTTAAAGCCACTAAGACTCAAAGAAGGGAAATGCCTTCCAGGAGTCACACAGCTGGGAACAGCAGAGCCAGGTCTTTCTAACCCCAAGGCCGGGGCTCTCTCTGGAATCCTGCACTCCATGTCCTTATCTGAGCTCATCTAGGGAAACATAGCCTCTGCTTGCTGCCTCAAGGGGCAAGGGTGTACTCCTTCCTGGGGCAGGCCCTCTCAGAAAGTTCTTCCTCAGATGGAAGGGAAGCCTCTTGTCTCATACCCTTATTCCTTGTTCCCAAACCTACCCCTTAGCCCTGTACCAAATACATCCAGTCCCTTTGCCCTATGACAACCAGTTGAGAATGAAGGCAAAGACCTTACCCCAAACCACCCATTTCTTCTAAATCATTTTTCACATGACATGGCTTTCTGCCCACCTTCCATTCTGCTTGCCCTTCTCCAGGCATGGTATCTAGAACAGGACTAATTCATGGAATAAGGGAATAGTGGAATAGTCACCTCCCTCCCTCTGACACTTGACCTCTATTAATACCTCCTGATTATATGAGCTTCTCACTCCAGTGACATCCTGAACTGACATCCTAAGCCCTAAGTCACTCATAGATCTGTTCTTTCCTAACCTGCGTGGCCCTGGGCCCTTTCTGTGGTTAGGGCTTCAGGCTCTCTGAGGCCTTCTAGCTTGGCACCAATGGAGGGCAGGGGGTTTTCTCCCACTAGTTTTTGGTTGTCTCCTGAGCATCAGACTTAAAGGATGCTATTATCAGTCATTTGTTGTTCTCCTACAGGGCATTAGTTCAGTGGTAAGTTAGTAAGTGTTCTTCAGAGGAAGGGTTCCCAGGCCAAATCAGTTTACAAAACACGGGGCAAAACAGGCTCCTTCCCTGTGGGAGTCCTCAGAACTTGGTGAATCATGATGGGCTTTATGGGTCTCCCCTTAAAAAGACATACCTGTCATAGTTTCCCACACTTGTTTTTCTAAGTTTAGTTGTATGAGACACAAACACATTGCCCTCGAAAAAGAAAAATCATAAATAACAGTTAAAGCTACAGTTTCTTCTGACCTATGTCCCCCTCCCCAGTGGTATCACATCCCTCCCCAGAGGCATCAACTCTTGTGGTGTCAGTGTGGACCCTTGCAAACTTGTTTCCAAGAATTTACACTCACACATATACAGTATATGTCCACCGAATGCATGTGTGTATACATGATCTCTATAAATGTATCATGTTTCTCATTCAGAAGAACTAGCTTTGTTCACTCAACAATGTATTTTTAAGACCTAGTTGGGCATAGAATGAAGTTCCATCTCCCTGAGGGCTGTTTAGAGCACCATGGTGAGCGTGCCAAGGGAAAGAAGCCAGTTCCCCTCTGGATGAACACTTAGATCCTTTCATACACATAATGGAGCCTTTATGCATGGGATGTGTTGGTAGACCTACAGTTTCTTCAAACATATCTTAGAAAACACTGATCTGGACCAACCCCTTCTCCATATGTCAAGGAGGGAGACAAGCCAGTGTCCCCCAGGATGTCCAAGGCCAAGGCTACAACCTAAGACACCTGGATCTTTGTGGTGCCCCTGATGTGCGCTGTGACCTCCCATATATCCCTAACCCTCTTGGGTCTTCCTCCCTTGATACACAGAGCTGGGATGAGATACTCTTGGGTATCCTTTTTGACACAGACCTTCTGTAGCTCCCCACACAGTATCAGATTCATCCCCTTCTCTCATTTCTTCCCCACAGCGTCCTGATCACAGTAACGACAACCTACCAGGGTCCAAGGAAGGTATGTATCTGACAAATATGTGGTGGAGTCTTGTGTTAAGTAGAGGATTAGGTTGGGTTCTCAGAGTTTAAGGCAAAAATCCCAAACAGTCAAAACCACCCTTGTAAACCCTTTAACTTGCTCCCAAAGTATTTTGTGCAAGCTATTTTGTTTCTATTACACTGTCTAGGACTTATACCATGAGACAGACATGTCAATGGGTCCAGGGCTGGGTGCCAGTTGTTGGGATAGAAAACACTCAGGGTTGTGGTAGTGCTCAGATAAAGCCTCACCATCCCATGTATCTCTCTTCCAATAGGTCCTGATGACATAATTGTGATCGCCCTATATGATTATGAGGCCATTCACCATGAGGACCTCAGTTTCCAGAAGGGAGATCAGATGGTGGTCCTGGAAGAGTGAGTCTCTCTATCCCACTTCTAAGGCATAGCTACCTCCAATACTCAATCATGCTCTCTTTTGTGTTTCAGTAAAGAACCTGAGCTATCTTATATTAGGGAGTATAATGGCTGATAAAAACCTGATAATAATAGAGGATGAAGGGTTTGGTTAACCTGGATGAGAGTAAGTACACAAAGGAGCTTGTGTGCTTACTAGCGGTGTACATCCAGGCAACAATGAACCGGTGAAAGTGCTTTTTCAGGGAAGACTTTCTCAGGCTCCTGTAATTAAGCTACAGGTGTATGGACCAGACCCTGCTGAGATACCTTTGCATTCAGAAATCTCTGGATCTGAGTTTGCTACCTCCAGTCCCCTATATTCTTCACCATCAGTGGGTGTAGTGTCACTGTGTGCTGGAGCTCAAGAATGGGAGTGGTTATGCTTGGTCAGACCACTCCCTGTGGCTCTTGGCCCACAATGAGTCTTCCATGGGCACAGGGTCCCATGCCCTAAGTACGGACCCCTGCAGGTCCAGGGGAAAAGAGTGGGGCCAGGGACCTAGGGCTGTGGGCTGTGAATGCAGGAACCAGGCTTGATTCTAGACCCTCAGATGCACAGTGGGGACTGTGGTAAAGATCCCTACCCTAACTGTGGAGTGCATGCTGGGGACCCAGGCAGTGGTGACCCTGCCCTTTACCCTATCAGCTTCCTGGGGTTGGGGGGTATCCTAGGCCAAGGCTGGGGGACCCAAGAAGAACCAGGGGAATCTCTCTGCTCCCTGACTCCTTTGCTCACTTCCTGTCCTCAGGTCTGGGGAGTGGTGGAAGGCTCGATCACTGGCCACCCGGAAAGAAGGCTACATCCCAAGCAACTATGTCGCCCGTGTTGACTCTCTGGAGACAGAGGAGTAAGTATTCCATTTTTCTTGCCCTACAGAAGGAAGTATGAGCAAAATCAGGTTTGTTCCTGCCTCGGGGCTTTTGCACTTACTATCTCCCCTGCCTGACACACTCTTCCTAGGGATCTCTACTTGCCTGGCTCCTTCTCACCCTCCAGGTCTCAAAAAGGCCTTCCTCGACCATGCTGTCTAAAGTAGATCCCCTCTGGGACTCTGCCTCCCAGGGAGACCTGTTTTATTCCCTTCTGCACACTTCTCACTAGCAAAAACAATCTTGTTTCTGTGGTTGCTCACATGTTCACTGTCTGCCTCCCCCACTAGATGGGAGCATTTGAGGACAGAGATGCAAGTGTATCCTCAGCACAGGCTGGCATGCAGTAGGTGCTCAATAAATACTTGTTGACTGAAGCCATGCCAAAGAGGGACTTCTGAGAGGCAAGGCTGCCCGCACCTGGTCAGTCATCCCTCATTTGGTTCAGTGTAAATATGTGCCTGCATGGCACCAAGCCTGTGCCCGAGAGGCGGCTGCAAGAACCAAAAAGACACAGCACACCCCAGCCTTCACAGAGCTCCCTGTAACCCAGAGGACTAGGCCGCAGGTTCTTCTCCATGTCTAGCTTGACTCTGAAGACACAGTTATATGGCGTGTGTGCATCCATCCCACCATCTAACAGACATTTGTTGAGCATCCAGCAGCCCTGTTCTAGGGGCAGGAGGTGACTCAGACAGGGTTCCTCCCTGGAGAGGCTCACAGCATGGTGGTGAGTGGCAAGTAAAACAATGGCCATGCTGCAGGGCGACGACAGGTCTCATTCAGAGCCAGCCATTCAAAAAGTTAAGACATGGCAGTCCCTAGAGTTTTATATCCCCTGCCTCCTCCCTCCGGCTAGATGGTGTGGCTAGATGGTATTGAGGGTTTGAAATGCTGACCTAATTAAAAATGAAAATGTTTGGGCTTTTCCCATCTTACAGTCACGCCTTTCTTAGTGCACAGGGTACACAAAGTGCTGTGAAAAGTCTCCCCTGTCCTACCACTGACCCTTGTGCCCGGGGCCACCCCAGGGCTCTGCTCCCAGATTCCAGGATCTCAACACACACAGAATCCTTGCACCACACCTCTCCCCGCAGCCTGAGAGGAGGTGCCATCTGAATGGTACTCCCCAAAGGCAACAAACTTGCTGTGTGCAAAAGGCAGGGTACAGACAACATGTATGATGGGTTATCATTTGCGAACAAAAGGGGATAACCTAAATGGTGGTTCTCAGACTTGAGTGTGTCAGCATCACCTGGAGGGCTGGTTAAAAGGCTGATTTCTGAGCCCTGCTCTGCAACTGTCTGATTCAGAATTTGCATTTCTAATAAGTTCTCAGGGGAGGCTGCTGCAGGTCCAGGGACTCACCTGGAGAACCACTGACATGAATATAGACATATCAGGCTTGCAGAGTGCACTCACAGGTTCTTGTGTCTGCATCAAGAAACCACCAACAGAGAGGGTGCCTTTGGGGAGGGTAGTCAGGGAAGCCGGGGCAGGGGGGTGGGGATCTTATGTTCACCCCCTCCTTGAAATAGACAATACTTCAAATGTTTCAAAATGCAAAGGGTGGGGAAGGATATAGAATAAAGAGTGAAAAGTCTTCCTTCCACCCTGTCCCCACCTCGCTACTTCTCCCCAGAGGCAACCAGTTCCTTATGAGTCTTCCCAAATGCTTCATACTTGTGTGAGAAAATACATATATCTCCCTTTATTTTACACCAGTAGCAGATACTACACATGCCATTCTGCACCTTCTGTTCAGATTTTACATGAAGCACCTAGAGTGGCCTCCTTCCTTCTACAGCTGCAGTGTCCATCATGTAGATGCCCTATCGTCCCCAACTAGCGGTCACTGAAACCACTTCCAGTCTTGGGCTATAGTGACTCTCCGGTGTATCTGTCATTTCTTCCTTATGCAAGATCCCTGAGATAACTTCCCAAGGGTGGGATTGCCAGGAAGATGGTTCTTACCAGGTACCCTGTTACATTGCTTGAATATTTCACACAGCACGACGCAGTTCACAGATGAAAGCAAAGAAGGCAAGTAGGCAGTGTCACATGGTGACTAAGAGTGTGGGCTCCAGAGTTAGACTGCCTGAAGTTGAATCTTGCCTCCACCACTTACCAGCTGTTATGACGCCAGTCAAGTAACTTGCTCTCTCCGTTCCTCAGCTTCCTCATCTATAAAATGGGGATAATCAGGACCATGATTTCCATGTAGTTGTTGGGTAGATAACAAGAACTTGATGAATGTTAGCTGTCTTTCTTCCCCAGTTGATACAAAGGAAGCAGAGGCCCAGAGAGGGAAAGCGACTTGCTCAAAGTCACACAGCAGATCTGTGGCAGATGCAAGGCTAGCTGACCTTGGGTCTGGAACGTTTTTCCATTACAGCACACAAACTACTCCTCACCCAGCTGAGGGTAAGAATGGATTTGGCTGCTACTGATGCTGCTGCTTGGACTTTTTTTCCACTCAATATCCCAAATATCCAGAGAGAAAAACAAAAAGTTCCAAGGATATGGCCCCAAGTATAAAATTCTTTGAAACCTCACATTTTAGCGTGAAAATTCATGTTGACTTTATATCCAACTTTGCACACACAGAAGAGGATACATTGTAAAGTTTACGAACCTCAGCCTCCCCACGCACATGGACCTGAGACCCTGAGAGGATGGTCACCTGAGCCTGTGAAATTTGCAAAAGCAAGATTTTGACCACAGTTGGTTAAGACTGCTCTATTTTACCAGTTTTTATTTTTTTAAAGATTTTATTTATTTATTCATGAGAGATACAGAGAGAGAGAGAGAGAGAGAGAGGCAGAGACACAGGCAGAGGGAGAAGCAGGCTCCAGTCAGGGAGCCTGATGTGGGACTCGATCCTTGGTCTCCAGGATCACGCCCTGGGCTGAAGGCAACGCTAAACCACTGAGCCACCTGGGCTCCCCCATCTTACCAGTTTTTCTATCCATCACCATATACTTCACATTGGGTGGCATTGGAATGGGCATTTTGTATTTGTAACACGGTGTTCTTTTTTTGAAAAAAAGTTTTTCCTTTTCTTACAGTTTTGGGGGAACCTCTTTCCTTTGGTATTTTGGTATTTTTCTTTAAGAAAGCTCCCCAAACTGGGATCCCTGGGTGGCGCAGCGGTTTAGCGCCTATCTTTGGCCCAGGGCGCGATCCTGGAGACCCGGGATCGAATCCCACGTCGGGCTCCCGGTGCATGGAGCCTACTTCTCCTTCTGCCTGTGTCTCTGCCTCTCTCTCTCTCATTCTGTGTGACTATCATAAATAAATAAAAATTTAAAAAAAATTAAAAAAAAAAAAAAGAAAGCTCCCCAAACTGCATAAGTTTCCATCTCAGCAAACTGGCTTCACTCTTGGTAAAATGTCTGTTTTGATATCAAAAGAATGGCTCTTTTTCCCAAAGGATCTTGTGGGAAAATCCATGCTGCGGGAAGCTAGGTTCTTGGTGTCTCCATGCCAGGACCGCCTACCCTGGGGTTCACACGCTACTCCTGCCCCTTTCCACCAGGTGGTTCTTCAAGGGCATCAGCCGGAAGGATGCAGAGCGCCAACTCCTGGCCCCCGGCAACGTGTTGGGCTCCTTCATGATTCGGGACAGCGAGACCACCAAAGGTGACGCCAGCCCTCCCCACCCTGCCCTACCCTGCCCTGCAGGGGTACCCTGAGCATGACTGGCCACCACTCTCCCTCTATAAATGCCCTGGGGCAGGGGGGTGCTGAGTGACTCCCCCAGGCACCAGACAGTCAAGTTTTCTCCTGCCATTTGCTGGAGCCTGGTTTGGGTCTTCTCAGCCTCTGTAGTTCCTGGCTGGGTCCCTGGAAGCAGGCCCAAGGGGTCATGGACCCCCCAAACTAATATTCTGTTGAAGCTTGATCTTCAGTAGCTTGTATTACTTAAAATACTCATCACAATAGATCTTGTCCGCAAACCTGATCTCCCTCCTCCTATGAGGAGAGGGTAGACCAGGTGGCAAGAAGAGCCCCAGGCCAGCCTCCTGGAAGACTCTGCTTCAACTGGCTCTTTTGATGTTTTTTGGATGTTTTGATGTTGGCAAACTATTTCCTGAAATTCTGTGCTGGGAAGGTGGCTTTCTGCCAGGTTGGTGCACAGGAAGCAAGAACAGTACCCCCCAAACATAACATAACTCAAACTCGCATCATTTGAGGCTAATTTTCCCAAAGGAATAGATGTCAATAAGGAGTCTTGGGATTTCGGACTTCACACATGGAGTGCATCTTTTCTAATACATTTAGTCTCAAAGCTGCTTGCTTCCGATCAATCAAGTAAATTGTATAAAGTGTGACCTCACAGTAACCTGAGCAAACAGTCTTGCGGACGTCCATCAAAGGCATCTGTGTGGCCTTCTACTCTACCCCTAGATACCCGAATTGACCAAGCCTGAACGTGATAAGATAATGTCACTCACAACCAATGTTTCAAGCCAGTGAATATTTAGACTTTATTTGCTCCCACCCAACAAGTCCCCTTTCAAGCCTCAGTGCAAGGGAAATAGGGCAAAAAGACAAAGCTGTACACACAGGCCCCGGCTTCTACTCTCCAGCTACTCCCAGGATAGCTGGGGGGTTGACTAAGCTGGTCCATCCTGCAGATAGGGGCAGGGAAGCCAAAGAAACGCAACCCCCCACTTCCCCCACCCCACCCCCCAGACCTGCAGGGCAGGAAAGTCAGCCTGGTTCACTCTCACAGCTCCTTAGAAGTGGAGCAGAGGGGCCAGTAGAGCCAATTTAATAAAACTGGCACCACGAGTGCCCTGAATCCCATCCCAGAGCTTCTTGGGTTCCTCCCCACCCCATCTAGTGTCAGCCAAGCCAGCCTCATCTTGGCCAGGCAGAGTGGCAAAGAGTGGGGCCCGGAGCCAGCTTCCTGGGTTTGAATCCTGACTGCCACTTCGCAACTGCATGACTGCAAGTGAGTTAGCTTATCTGCTTGGACCTCAGTCTCCTTGCCTGTAAAATGATGGTGATCTAAAATGTCTATCTTGTGGGGTTATTCATTTATTATAATGAATAACATAATTAATTATATTCATATAATTATAATTCATTAGAGTGATCACTATTCATATGCACTCACAGTTTATGTGGTTGAAGTTCTTTGAACAGTGGCTGGCATGTATGTCACTTGTTATCCATGCAACAATTTAAGCCTCCCCAAAAGCCTGTGACATAGCGCACACATTGCACACAGAGCAAACTGAGAGCCAGAGAGGCTAATAGCTTGCCCAAGGACCACACAGCTTGCAAATGGCAGAAGCATGGTCACCCACTAAAAGACTTGTGTGTTTCTGATCTATGTGATGTCATACACATTACATGCTTATTGCTGCTATCAAATTACCACAAACTTCCATGGCTTAGAACAAGATAAATTTATTATCTTACGTTCTGGAGATTAGAAGTCTGAAATCTCACTAGGCTCGAGTCAAGGTGTCCAAAGAACTGGTTCCTTCTAGAGGCTTCAGGAAATAATCTGATTCCTTGCCTTTGTCAGCTTTAGAGGCCACCAGCATTCCTTGGCTCATGGCCCCTTTTTCACATCCCTCTAACCTTGTGTTTCCATCTTCACCTATTCTCCTATTGACTTTTTTTTAAAGATTTATTTATTTATTAATGAGAGACAGAGAGAGAGAGAGAGAGAGAGAGAGGCAGAGACACAGACAGAGGGAGAAGTAGGCTCCATGCAGGGAACCGGACGTGGGACTCAATCCCAGGTCTCCATGATCATGCCCTGGGCTGAAGGCAGTGCTAAACTGCTGAGCCACCCGGGCTGTCCCCTCCTATTGACTTTGTCCTTCCCACCTCCTCTTATAAGGACCCTTGTGATTCCATCAGGCCCACCTGGACAATCCACAATAACCTCCCCATCTCCAGACCCTTAACGGGATCACATCCCCCAAGTCCTTTAACCGTGTAAGCTAACAAAGTCCTAAGTGCCAGTGATGAGGACACGGCCATTTGGGGGGGCCATTAATTCAGCCTACCACCACTACTGTTGACATGGTACATTTTGTTGTTTACATTTCCAGAATCAGACCGCATTTTGTTGTTGCTGCAGATCTTTTTGTTTGTTCCATTGTTTCTGAGTAACCTATTTGCGGATCTGGTGTGTTGGCCTTTGCAACAGATGATAGATAGATCGAGATAATGAAGATGCTGATTGAGGCCAACATTTGCTTGAGTGTTCACACCCTGAGTGCTTTAGAACATTACTTCTTTTAATCATCAGGTAATGTGAGGAAATATGGAGATATGCTGACCAAGCCCATCATACAGATAAGGAAGTCGAGGCACAAAGTGGTGACAGAATCACTAGTTCAGAGCCTCACAACTGGACATGGAGGAGGCTGGACGAGAGCCCAGACAGCCAGACTCCACAACCCACTATTACCCTGTCCCCGCTGCCTGGGGGCTCACACGGTGCCAGCAGAGGCCTTTCAGGGGTTCCAGGAGCAGGTGTCAGGATGCTGACATGACGTGGCAGGGCTCTGAGATCCCACAACTGAGGGGTTTCCCTCCGGCCATTACAGGAAGCTACTCTTTGTCTGTGCGAGACTACGACCCCCAGCACAGGGACTCGGTGAAACATTACAAGATCCGGACCCTGGACAGCGGAGGCTTCTACATCTCCCCACGGAGCACCTTCAATAGCCTGCAGGAGCTGGTGGCCCACTACAAGAGTGAGTCCTGCCCGGGGTACATCATAACTAGGGTGGGGACCTGTCTCCCTGGAATCCTAGTGAAGAGTGAGGTGTGCTACAGCCTCTGGAGCCTGCTGAGCTCTTCCTGACCCACCCCAGACAAAGAGTTGCTTTGATTTTCCTGAAGTCTTAGGCCTGTTGAGCAGGAGGGTTGAGGTGGCATGTCATCATGCTCTGTGCTCTTGTCCCCAGTGGTGGCAACCCATTGGAACATTGGCCCCGGGCAGTGGACGGGGCAGGGAGGCCTCCGAGGGGAAGCCTCTGGCTGGCTGCCCTCGACTGACCAGGAGCTCTGTTCCAGAGGGGAGTGATGGACTCTGCCAGAAGCTGACAGTGCCCTGCGTGTCCTCCAAGCCCCAGAAGCCATGGGAGAAAGATGCCTGGGAGATCCCCCGGGAATCTCTCAAGCTGGAGAAGAAACTCGGAGCCGGGCAGTTTGGGGAAGTGTGGATGGGTAAGGACCCAGGGCCAGAGGGTGGTGGGAGGATGGGATGAGGGAGGTCTTTGCTTTCAGGAACAGACTGAGGCAAAGTGGGGATGCCACCCAGGGTAGAAGGGGAGATTTGAATAACCATAAAGGAGCAATTCCTCTGATAGTAACCACATTGTCCTGCTATGCAAACACTGATTTGCCTTTGAGGCCAGGCTTGTTGGGCTCTAGATCTTCCTTCTGGGAAGGAGGAGTCCTGGGTGAGGGATCTACTCCTTCTCCCTTGTATGGAGCTGGGGTGGCCCACCCGTTTGGTTGAGATAATCAGAGACCTCTTAGGATGAAGAAAACTAAGAGTAGGGAAATGTAGTTTGGAGATTTCCAGGCAAGTTGATGTTGGCAACAGATGAGTAAGCAGCTCTGAGCACCCGTCATGTACCCAGGAACACGCTAGGGCATTGTGGGGTACCCAAAAGGCACGGGCCACCCCTGCTGTCCTGCTCCTAATAACTTGAGAACAGTGATGCCTGCTTTGCAGAATGTGGGGGAGATGCAGTGCCTGGCCCAGGGCCTGATGCATTCCACCATGTTTCACATGGGAGCGAAGACAACTTACAGAGATGCAAACAATTCAGGCAGAAAAAATCAGTTTAAAATCCACTCGTTTCAACTACATTTACCAAGACCTTGCTGTGTGCCAAGCATTGAATAAGAGAATGTGGCAAAGAAAGTATAGTGAAGCATGCAAAATGGATCTGAGTGATAAGGTTGGAAAACCAAAAATATTATATAATTATGTAAATAATTATATATTATGTAAAAATATTATATAATTATATTATATTATATTATATTATATTAGGCCTTAGCTTCTCACTACAGGAAGACCCCAAATCTAGATTTGAGTTTCCTGGCAGCCAAGGCAAAAATGGAAGCAAAAATAATTAAGAAATTTACAAGAGCAACAAGATGAACCAGGGGTGGGTTGGGTTGAGTCCCTGTGCTAGGAGCAGGATCTGGGTGCTTGAGATTGATTAATAGGCAGGCTGACTGGTGCACAAACGGCAAGGGGGAGTTTGGTGGATGAGGCTGGCAAGGTGGGTGAGGCCAAATCCTACAGGGCCTTGTGGACCATGGTGAGACTGGTCGTTTCATTGAGGGCAGTGTTAAGATTAAAACATTTTAAGCAGAGATGGTATGTGTGTATATCAGTAAGTGACAAACAAAGGTGGTGTGTGTGTGTGTGCATGTGTGTGCACGCAGGTAACAATCTGAGTGATGTTTTGAGGTTATTCTTTAATTCCTGCAATAGCTTCTGGAAAGGCAATGCTGATCATTTCCACTTTGCAGTTGAGGAAATCACAGTTCAGAGAAGTTAAGTGACTTGCCCAAGGGCACAGAGCTAGGAAGTGGTAAACCAGACTTCTGACCTACATCTTTCCAAGCCGAAGCCTGCATCTCCTTTTCCCTCTCTGAGGGCTGAGAGGAGCAGGGAAGGTGTCCCAGAGGAAGCAGGTCTGCGGCTGGGCCTTCCAGGGCTGGGGGAAGGAGCAGAGGGTTCTGACCACCTTTCCTGTCCCCTCTCCTGTTCCAGCCACCTACAACAAGCACACCAAGGTGGCTGTGAAGACGATGAAGCCAGGGAGTATGTCTGTGGAGGCCTTCCTGGCAGAGGCCAACCTGATGAAGACTCTGCAGCATGACAAGCTGGTGAAGCTGCACGCAGTAGTCACAGAGGAACCCATCTACATCATCACTGAGTTCATGGCCAAAGGTGCTGCACTCTGGGGGCTGAGGGTGCAGGCTGTGGCTCATACTAGTCACTTGCAGACTCAAAGGTGACCCTGACATGGTTCTTGCCCTCCAGATGCCTCAATCTGGCCAGGGGCTCTTCTAGCAAGTACCCATTGAACTTGAGTACTTGGGCCTTCACAAGCAATGGCCCAGCCCTCCTGGTTAACGGGATGAAACCATTAAGGGAATGCCAGGGGAAGGGGAGCTCATGGGACTACAAGAGAGGGGAATGGGGCCAGAACCCCACTGGGTGATGGTAGAAGAGGCTTATGGGCTCACGATAAGCCTTCAAGGCTTGGGGCAGCTTCCTGCCTCACAAGCTGTCTTCCTGGGGTAGACCCATGCCCTGGAATTAAGAGTTGGCAAAGCATTTGTTTTGGGCTTCCCCCACCCTGCCAGCCCACAATCCAAGGTTTCCAAGGGATTTTTTTTTGGCCACCACTTCACATCCATCTTCAATCCTTGCCCATTTTTTTATGAACACAAACCTCTCACACAACCTCATTTGGTGCGATTCTGAAATCTCAAAAACGCTTTCGGTGTTCTAAATACACAGTTCTTCCAGCGCTGTGAAAGCACGGCCCCAGTCAGCCATCCAGACTTAGAAAGTGATCTCGGTCAAAGAAATTGTGATTACCCCCATCTAGTAATCACCAAGTCGTTTTTAAAACACTCAAATTCTAGTTCACAAACACTAGGACTGGTAAATAAAGACTTTTATTTATTTATTTACTTACTTATTTTTAAAAATATTCTATTTATTTATTCATGAGAGACACAGAAAGAGAGGCAGAGACACAGGCAGAGGGAGAGTCAGGCTCCATGCAAGGGGCCCAACGTGGGACTCAAACCCGGGAATCCGGGATCACGCCGAGTCAAAGGCAGGTGCTCAACCGCTGAGACACTCAGGCATCCCTGCTTATTTTAGTTTTTAAGATTTTATTTATTTATTCATGAGAGACACACAGAGAGAGACAGAGACATAGGCAGAGGGAGAAGCAGGCTCCATGCAGGGAGTCTGATGTGGGACTCGATTCCAGGACTCCAGGATCACTCCCTGAACCAAAGGCAGATGCTCAACCGCTGAGCCACCCAGGCGTCCCAAAGACTTTTATTTAAATAAATTACTATGGGGACACCTGGGTGGCTCAGTGGTTGAGCATCTGCTCAGGTCATGATCCCCGGGTCCCTGGATTGAGTCCCACATTAGGCTCTCCGCATGGAGCCTGCTTCTCCCTCTGCCTGTGTCTCTGCCTCTCTGCGTCTCTCATGAATGGATTAATTAATTAATTAATTAATCTTAAAAAAAATCCATTACTCTGAACAATTTTAGCCATAGGCCAAAGCAGTGTGAGCAGTACGTGTTGCTTCTCATCTCCCCATAGGAAGCCTGCTGGATTTCCTGAAAAGTTCAGAGGGCAGCAAGCAGCCATTGCCGAAACTCATTGACTTCTCAGCCCAGGTGAGAGTCTACAGGGGGATGTCAGTGGGGAGGGGACAGGAATTCAATGATTTATTTAACACATGTTTATTGGACAGGCACTGTAATAGTGCCAGCAGTAATAGCTAACATGCGCTTAGCACTCCATATGAGTGTACAGTTGACCCTCGAACAATGTGAGTTAGGACTGTGATGGGTCCACCTATAAGCAGATTTTTTTTTATGAATAGAGTACAGTACTCTAAATGTATGTTCTCTTTCTTATGATTTCCTTAATAACATCTCCTCTAGCTGACTTTATGGTAAGGATATGGAGTGTAATACATATAACATACGAAACACATATTAATCAATTGCTTGTGGTATTGTTGAGGCTTCTCATCAGCATTAGGATATTAGTAGTTCAGTTTTGGGGGAATCAGAAGTTATATGTGGGTTTTTCGCTGTGCAGGGGTTGGCACCCCTAACCCTTACATTGTTCAAGAGTCAAATGTCCACTTTTTTGTATGTGTCTTGCAGATATTAACTCATTTGATCCTCACATCAGCCTTAGACAGTGGGATTTTTATTATCTATTCTTTTTTTTTTTTAAGATTTTATTTATTGATCTGAGAGAGCATGCACACAAGTGGGGGAGGGCAGAGGGAAGAGGGAGAAGCAGACTCTATCCCAGGACTCTGGGATCACAACCTGAGCTGAAGGCAGATGTTTAACTGACTGAGCCACCCAGGTGCCCCTTTGTTATTTATTCTTATGTAACAGATTCTTCCAAAGCTTAGTAGCTTAAAACAACAGCAGTGTATTATTTCTTGCATGTTGTGTGTTGACTGGGGTTGGTTGGGTGGCTCTTCTGCTCCACGTGATGAGACTGAGGTCACTCGTGTGGATGCATTCTGTTGAGAGCTTGCCTGGGTTAGAATGTCCAACACGGTGGCTCATCCTGTGGGGTGTCTCTCCTGTGGCCCCTCATCACTCAGTAGTCCAGCCAGAGCTTCTTCATAGCATGGTAGCTAGGTTCCAAGAGGGAGGGTTCCCAGGGGCTAAGCCCTAATGTGCAAGTACTTGTGAATCTTCTGCTCCCATCATGTTTGCTACTGTTTCATTGGCCAAAGTATGGCCCATGGCCCAGCCCCAGGTCAGTGTGGGAGGAGGCTGCACAAGGGCATGAGTCTCAGGAGGCACAGTCCATTGGGGGTCACCAATGTAACAAACAGTCCACCCACAGGTAGGAAATTGTCATCCTGTTTTACAGAATAGGAAAGTAAGGCATCGAAAAGAAGTTGAGTATAGATGAGGAAACTGTGAGGTGAAGTAGTTTGCCTAAATTACTGTGTTGATGTCAGGGGATCCAGCGGTGAATGAAATGGAGAATATTTCTGTCCTCCCAGAGTTTATAGACATTAGACAACTGAATCTCCAAGACACCCATTATGCAAGTGGTCCCAGCTCAGTGTTGAAGGATGCAGTATCCAGCAAAATAAATAATGTATACAAACCCCAGGAACACTTCTTAAAATCCCATTTTCTCTCTCATCTTCCTCTCACTTTCTTCAGCTCCTCTTACCCCCGGCTTGAGTGCTTTTCGTGTCTGTCCTCTCTCATCCTCTCCTCTCTGTGGGAAAACAGGAGAAGAAAGGGATGCTGTGGGAGGACATGGCTGGAGTGTTCAGCCTGGTCCAGGAGAAACTCAAGAAGGCTTCCCAGAGGAACTGACTTCTGGGCTGAACCCTGAAGGATGAGTGGAAGTTAGGCAGCTGAATTGGAGAGAGGAAGATATTCTAAATGGAAGAAACAGCGAGTGCAAAACCCATGGGGAAAAGCAAAAGAACTGAGCCTGGGCAGCTGGTACCTGGGGCTGGTATAGATAAGAGGGGTGTAGTTTGCAGCCTGGAGGGTGTTAAGGGAAACGGCCTAAGGCGGTGCCTTCCAGAGATCCCTAAGGCAGAACTCATTTGAGTATGCAAATCCCAGGAGAAGAAGGGAATGTCCAGTGGTATTTAAAAAAGGCTTTAAATTTTGGAATCTGAAATGCCAGAGGCATATGGAAATCAAGACATTTTCACTTGAATGGGCCCCATCCCTAGGGAAACAATAGTCTGGCCTGTACCTAAATTGTAACCATCAAACTGGCAGAAATGTTGTTGGGGGAGAGTCAGGCTGGGCAAGGCCATTCTCCCTGCTTCACAGAGGGGAAGACAGAAGCCAAGGGAGGGAAGGAAGTTCCTGGCCCCTGTATGTCCCGGAGCAGAGGGCCCAGGGAGACCAAGAAGGCAACCTGGGGACCAGGGCTTAACCTCCAGTCTGAGAGAGGCAGGTGGTGCAGTAGAACATGCCCCAGTCCTGTCACCCACGTGCTGTGTGGGCTTTGGTGTCTTCATTTGTCATATGAGGAAATTAGACCACATTTGTGCTTTTCAAGTTCAAAAGTCTTTTATAAAGCCATAACTCTGTTGGTCAAATGAAATCTTACACAGTAGCTGAATATTTTAAAATTTAGGTCAAAACAGCTGCTCTGATTGAAGAGAGTGCTTTTTGCTTTGCCCCCCATATTCCCCCGGAAACCCTGAGGTATCAGCAGGATTCAGTTTGAAGAGCCCCCATGAGGCCCTTCCAGCTCTGATTCTGTGGTTCCCTGATACCATCAGAAGGAAACCCAAGTTTTGTTTTGTTTTTTTTTTTCAAACCCAAGTTTTAATGCCCAACATCATGGCAGCCCGCTCGCTGGTCATGAAATGTCACCACTTCATCAAACCCTAGTTCTTAGACCAACCCCTGAGCCCAGTGAACCTCTCCATCATCCATTCACGTAACAAGCCCTTGAGAAGCAACGCTGTGAAAGTGTCGGGGCTCAGGAGTCACATCGAGTTTTGGTTTTGATCCCAGCTCCGCCTGTGTAGCTTTGAGCAAGTTGCTTAACCTCTCTGAATGCCACCTTCCGCAGCAGGGAGCGTTAATAGCCATGACTGAAGTGAATACTTATGTGCCAGTGTTCTACACCTTTGATGTAGGTTTAGAGGATTAATCTTCACATGACCCCTCAGAAGCAGGTTCTATTGTTGTCCTCATTTTACAGAGAAGAAAAGTAAGGTACAGAGGAGTGAAGTAGTTCAGCCAGAGCCCCAGGTCCAGCTCCAGAGCTACTTGGGCATTATCCTCTGCAGTCTCCTGAATTGGGTAACCCCACCTGCCCCACTGAGGGCCTGCGAGAATCAATAACGTGAATATCTGCCCACGGGTACTAAAAAAGTGGAAACCAGCAGCATTAGTGCCTGCTCTGCCAAATCCAAGGCCAAAGCTCCAGGTAGAGTGATGGATCCGGGCACAGACTCTGAGTGGGGCTGCCGGGGTTCCACTCCTGGTCTCCACGTGGACCGGTTATTTCTCTAGGATTCAGCCTTCTTGCCTGTAGATGACTCTCCTGTGATGGCTGAGAGCAACAGTACCTCCCCCAAAGCGCAGAGCAAATGCTCTTTAAGCTCAGGTATCATCTTGTAACAAATGACTAAGCTACAGTGTCTGCCACTAACATTATACCCTTGTTAGCTGTTCTCTTTGAGGACGCCTGCTAAATCGCCCTCCCCTTCGCCCTCCCCTGCCCAGGCAAGACCTCTCTTCTCCGCCCTGGCTTGCTACTCCAAAAGCAAAATCAGTCTCAAGTTTTTGTTAGAAAGTCTGAAGCCTCACCCCTCCGTTCCGGTAGCTATTGGGTGCCCCCTGCTGGCCACGTCTCGCAAGTGCACCACCCGCCTGTCTGACCTTGAGCTGGTTTGGGTTTGGTTTATCTTGCCAGGCTCCACCCTACCCCCTACTCCCCACCCCCACCCCGGCGGGGTGCACCCAGCTCCAGAGCATTGGAGTTCTGCAGTAATTAGAGGCAACATGAGGCAGAAAGACTGGAAATCCGCAGACTGGTTGGAGTCTGACATTGGGAATTTTCTTGGTGGGATGGTCTGGAAAAAGTGTCTCCCCCCCACACACAGCTCCCCGGTAAAACAGAGATTGTGATAACATCTGTCTCGAGGAGCTCGAAGGCCAGTTCGTAAACCATAAGTGCTGTTTTCTGGGTGTCTGGGTGTTAATTATAAGCCTCTTTATGAGGGTTAATGCACAAGTCCTTGAAAAAGGTCCCTAAGGAAATACCCCACATCTTTCCATCAGAGGCATCCAGGCACCCGGTGTGAATAAGAATTCTCCACACAGTCTATTATTCATTCAGCAGCCATGATGACATTCAAATATATCAGACCATCTCAACACTCCTGCTCAAGGACTTCTACCATCTTCCCATTGCGCTCAGAATACTATCCCTTCAACCTCCTCTCCAAATCTAGAAGGTTCATCACAATCAGAAGCCTCCCTCTTAACCTCAGCTCCCCTCCCTCACCTTAGCCCCCATCTCCCTAGGCCAACTTCTGCTCAGCCACCTGTTCCATGAACACCCAAACTCATTCCTACCTCCGGGCATTTGCACGTGATGTTCTCTCTGCCAGGAATGCTCTTATTTGATACATTTATTATTATCACCACTCAGATCTTTGCTAAAATTTCACCTCCTCAATGCAGCCTTCCCTGACCACTCAATCCAAAACAGCCCTCTACACTTCATGTCCTATCCTGCTTTATCCTTGATGGCATTTACTACTCCTTGTAGGAGTCTTGCTTGGCTCACCACCTGTTTAAATAATATGTCTGGCACCCATGAGGCACTCAGTAGATATTTGTTGAATGAATAAATGAATTTTCCCTACCCAGGCTTGAGGATGAAGGAAGTACAAGAGATACAGCAGAATATGATGTTAACCTAGGTCGTCCCCCAGAAAGAGGGTTGGGGATGAGAGTATCTTATAGTGTTCTGGGGTGTGTGTGTGTGTATGTGTGTGTGTGTGTGTGTGTGTGTGTGTGTAGGTCCTGAGGAAATAATGCCATTGTTTTTTCCTCAAAGTAGTATCTGGAAGTCTTGGAACCTCAGAGAAGCCCCTAAAGAGCCTAGGACCTGAGATTCCCCCCCAGCCTAGATGAGGGGATAGAGAAATGCCAGCAGGATCCTTCCACAAGAAAGGGAAAGCTGGCATACACATTTTCCTGTTTTCTCAAAATTGGATGCTCCTGTTGTATTCTTGGATGGGACCCATCTTGGGCTGAGCCAGATGTGAAAATGAGGGTGTCTCTGTTTGGGGGGGAGATTGCAGAAGGCATGGCCTTCATTGAGCAGAGGAACTACATTCACCGAGACCTCCGAGCCGCCAACATCCTGGTCTCTGCGTCCCTGGTGTGTAAGATTGCAGACTTTGGCCTGGCGCGTGTCATCGAGGACAACGAATACACTGCTCGGGAAGGTAGGGAGCACTGCCAGGGGACCCAGAGGACCCACCTGGATGAGTTGTGAGAGTTGACAGTTAAGATATGTGTCTGTCTCCATATTAGCTGTGTGTTATTAAGCTTGATGGATTCCTTCTGGATAGAGTGTCCTGGCCCATAGACTCTGATCAATTCTAGACTGAGTTCTCCAAGCGCATGTTGAAATTAAGGGTGAGAGCAACTTTATGCATGATAGACAAAAACTGGGAAGAATCCAAATATCCATGAGTAGTGGAACAGATATATAAATTGTGGTGCATTCATGCAATATAATGTGACACAGCAATGCCCCATGTAACAAAATGGTTGGCTCTCACGGACAGAATATTGAAATGAAAGAGATCAGACTCCCCCAAAAGCGGATGCTGGACAGCTCCACTTTTATAAAATTCAGAAACAGGCAAACTCTTGTATGAATAGCAATGATTCATAACAGCCAAAAAAGTGGAAGAAACAAGAGCATATTATTCAGCCACAAGAAAGGGGTGAAGTACTGAGCTACGTGCTGACCGTGGAAAAACTTTCAGAACATCATGTTAAATGACAAAGACTGCATATTGTATGATTACATTTATATGAGTCCTCAAGGACTCTACTCTTCAGAATCTGTAGTTCGCTGGGGTATCAGCTGAATCAACCAGGTGGCACGGAGTGTCAGCTCCCCCAGCACGCACCCCTCTGCCCACTCCTCTCCACACTAGACACCTGTCCTCAGAATGGAGAGCCCTTGCTTCTGTGGAGACCAGATTGAGGACAGATGTTAGCAGCTGTGCCCCTGTCCTGTTCCCTCACCCTAGCAGACACCCAGGCCTGACTGTTTCCAGACTCTCCCTGACTCTGCCCTGTCCAACCCCACAGGGGCCAAGTTCCCCATCAAGTGGACAGCTCCTGAAGCTATCAACTTTGGCTCTTTCACCATCAAGTCAGATGTCTGGTCCTTTGGTGTTCTGCTGATGGAGATCGTCACCTACGGCCGGATCCCTTACCCAGGTAGTGAAGGGGGCATCAGCTGGTAGCTGCTTCCATGGTCCAACCTGGGTATCTTCTGTTGTCAGTGTGTCCATTCAGACAGTTCTTGATCCTTGCCCTCGACCACCCCACACCTGCCCCATCTCAGTTAAAGGTACCACCATCCACTTAGTTTCTTTTTTTTATTTTAAGATTTTATTTATTTATTTATTTGACAGAGAGAGAGAGCAGAGAGGAGCATCAGAGAGAAAGAGGGAGGGAGAATCAGGCTCCCCACGGAGCAGGGAGCCTTATGTGGGTCTCCATCCCAGGATCCTGGGATCATGACCTCAGCTGACGGCAGATGCTTAACCGACTGAGCCACCCAGGCTCCCCCACCTGGTTTCTTAAGCTGAAAATCTGGGGGCTTGCTTGGCCCTTCCTTTTCTCTCACCCCTTACTACATCCAGACAATCCCAAGGTTCTGGCCCCTTGACTCCAAAATACAGGTTTACTTCTAATTCCACTGCCTCCACCCTCATTCAGGCCGATATCATCTCCAACCTTGATGGTGTGGTGGCCTCCTATGCAGTCTCCCTGCTTTCTCCCTTCTCCCCCATAGGCCATTCTCTCCTGAGGCCAGAAGGATCCTTCTAGGATTGTGAAACAGATCTTGTCCCTTCTCTACCTCTCTTTAATGGTCTCCCATCATAATTGGGACATAATCTCAAACTTCTAATTATGGCTTGCAGGTCCTGCATGATCCAGAGCCTATTTCTCCAGCTTCATCTCATTCTGTACCCCACCAGGCAGTCATCTAAAGTATCATACATCCCCCGCTTCTCATTCATAAGACCCCATACAGTCTCATTCATAGCATTCACTGCAATTGATAAGTAGTATTTGTTTAATATTTTTCCCACAGGACACTGAGATCCATGAGGCCAGGAATCATGTCTATATTCCTCACTAGTATATGTGCACTGCCCACCTCTGTGCTTGGCACATGGTGGGTGCTTAATAACTACTTGTTGAATGGATGAATTTATCCCCATGCCTATGGGCAACACCCTATGCTGAGTAGACCATGTAGGTACAAAGATATACCCAATGTGTATGTAGATTGCCTGAGACTCCAAAAATAATGTTATTCTCTGTTCCTTTCTGGTTGAGATGTCTCTTGGGTATCTATAGCCAGAACACTGGGGAGAAGGAGAAAGGCAGATCCTTGACTTTGTATATAAACCATCCTGAAATTGAATCTTGCCCCATCAACAATCACACTTTGAGAAATTCACTTCACTTCTCCTACCCTAGCGTCTTCACCTTTAAAAAATATGGGTAATGCTATCTACTTTGCAGAAGTGGTTGTGAAGATTAGAAATAAAAGGCATAGACAGTTGGTTCATTCATCATTATTATCAGATTTCTTCTGTGTGTTATGCATGGAGGATATAGTGAGATGAGCACATTCTAGCCTGGAGGAACATGCATACACATTCTCAACTGGAGATCACTGGTGAGTAGAAAATGAAGCAGGGCGTGTGAGAGGGAGTGAATGGAGCACCTATGGTGCTCCCCAGCTCCTGTCAGAGCAGGTCCTATTGAGTTGAAAGACAGCTTAGTGAAGAACTAGGGAAAAGATTCCAGGTAGAAGGCACTGCTAGCTCTTTGGCCTTGAGGTGTGCCTGAAGAAAAAGCAAGGAAGCCTGGTAGCTGGAGACAAGGAATGAGAGCAGATGGTAAACGAGGAGGTCAGGGGCCAGATCTGGAGGGCCCATGGTCATGGGGAAGAGTGTGGACTGTGGATGTTAGTCTAAGCATATGGAAGCCATGGGAGGGTTTGAGACAGAGAAGTGGCATCTGATTTTCATCTTTAAGTGAAGCTTTGGTTCCTTCAGCATGGGAGTGGATTGGGGGCTGGGGAGAAGGTAGCAGTCACAGCAGTGGGACAGGAAGAAGTGATGAAGACAGAGGTAAGTGGATGGATTGATACTATGTTTCAAAAGAAGTAAAAATGTGACTTGGTGCTATGGAAGGTGAGAGAGAGAGAAAGAGAGAGAAGAATCAAGGTTGATCCTCTTGGTTTTAATTGAGCAGCCAGGTGGGTGATGGTCTGGGGGTAGAAATTCAAGAGTTCTGTTTTGGCCCTGTTAAAATTGAGGTGACTTGTAAAGATCCAAGTAAAGATGTTCAGGGAAGCACTTGGATATATGAGTTTGGATCTATAGACTGTTAATAGAAAATTGGGCATCATAGACATGTAGAACATTGTTCTTGTGTGCATGTGTTTATTTTTAATTTTTTAATTTAAATTCGATTTGCCAACATTATAGTATAACATCTAGTGCTCATCTCATCACTTGCCCTCCTTTTTTTAAAGATTTTATTTATTCATGAGAGATATACAGAGAGAGAGAGAGAGAGAGAGAGACATAGGTAGAGGGAGAAGCAGGCTCCCTATTGGGAGCCCGATGCAGGACTTGATCCCAGGACCCCAGGATCATGCGCTGAGCCAAAGGCAGACACTCAACCACTGAGCCACCCAGGCATCCCATCACTTGCCCTCCTTAATGCCTGTCACCCTAGAAGACTGTTCTTAAGGATATCTCGCATAAACTTCAATGGAACAAGGAAATAGTCCCACTCACAGAGTGACATTGAGATAGACTTCCTGTTTTGTCTTGAGAGTACATCAATCAGTAAAAACCAGGCAATGGGTTATGGAACCTATATCCATTAGGAAGCATTAGGCCATAAGTAACAAAATAATAAAGAGTGGTGGAAACAATAGGCAAGTGATTGGTCTCTGTGTCAAGGAGTCTGGCGTTAGTGACTGGCTGCTTTAGGCACTCAACAGCACTCAGGGCTCTAGGTTAGCTTGTCTGTGATGGTCTTCCCTGGGAGGCTGCGCAGCTCCAAAGATCATGTTGTCTCTCAGTGTCGTAGGAAAGAAGAAGGGTGTATCTTCCAAGGGAGGAACACTTTTCCTGGCAGTCTCTGGGAGAATGCTCCTCAGCTCTCATTGGTCCAAACTGGGTGCCATGCTCCTGCCCTAGTAGGAGAGTCTGGGAAGGGGTTCCTGGCTTTCATAGTGGGAGGGGCTCAGCTCCCTGGGGAGGTGGGAAGTGATGGTTGCTGGAGAGGCACCTGGGGTTTCCCTGTCCCAATCCTTCCCTTTTTAATTCTCCTTCTCAGGGATGTCAAACCCTGAGGTGATCCGGGCTCTGGAGCGCGGATACCGGATGCCTCGACCAGAGCACTGCCCTGAGGAGCTCTACAACATTATGACACGCTGCTGGAAGAACCGCCCTGAGGAGCGGCCCACCTTTGAATATATCCAGAGTGTGCTGGAGGACTTCTACACGGCCACTGAGAGCCAGTACCAACAGCAGCCATGATGGGAGGAACCAGGGCGGGGCCAGGTACCCAGCTGATGCCATCTGTCTGGTGCCTGCTCACCCTTCCCATCCCGACACCCCACCTCGTTCCAGCCCACAGTTCCTCGTCTGTCAAGTGGGTGGGTTGAACTGGACAATCTTTTTTTGACTCTAGCAATCTATAATCCGCCATCCTCAGGAGACCCCAAGTTGATATTTCTATTGCCTAGGACAGCTGGATTCCAGTTACAGCGTGCTTTGGATGGAAAACTTTTAAAAATAATGAAATAAATATTTAAATAAAAGATATGAATGCTAAAGCCTTTACTGACAGATCGGTTCGTCTTGTCCTGCCAGTTCCTGAATATCTATTTGCCTATTGCTGGATGATGAGTCAGAAAGGGGAAAGGGACCCTTCCAAAAAACAGTAGTATGAAGAGAAAAGGGGTCTAAGTCTCCCAAGGTTTCTAACTGCCCCAAAATAGTCCCTGTATGTGTTCGTTTCCTATGGCTTCTGTAACATATGACCACAAACTTGGTGGCTTAAAATACAAATTCATTACCTTACAGTTCCAGAGGTCAGATGTCTGAAATGGGTTTAGCAGGGCTGTGTGCATTTGGAGCCTCTAGGGGAGAATTCACTTCCTTGTCTTTTCCGGCTTCTACAGGCTGACATGTTCCCTGACTCGTTCTTCTCTTACACTCATCACTCCAAACTGCTTGACATCACATCTCCCACTTTGAGTCTGTCTACTGCCTCCCTCTTTCTCTTGTAAGGACACCTGTTGGTACATTGGGCCCACCTCGATAATCCAGACTAATGTTTCCATTTCAAGATCCTTAATCACATCTACAAAGCCTCTTCTGCCACGTAAGGCAACACATTCATAGGTTCCGAGGATTAGGACAGTGACATCGTGGGCAAGGAGGAGGGGCATTATTCTGCCTATCACACTGGCACTGGGATGCCAGTGGGGTTTTGTCTCCAAAGAGCTTGAGTTTGCCAGAATTATAGGAATGATTTTTTCATGATTGGGGCTCTGATTTTCCTGACAACCCACACTGATACATGAGCTAGTTAGTCTGGGTCCCCCCAAGGGCTGCAGGGCTGTCCACAGTATGGGCATTTCCCATGCCCAAGCAGCCATCATGGTTATTAAGATGGTACCCACCATTGTAGGAATACAATGGGTCTAGAGATGTGGCTGCTGAAAGGTATCTGGTAACTTGCATGGGAAGCTCTCAGTGGAAGAGGAGATATGGGAAGAAAGCAGAGAAGACAAGGAGGCAGTGAGCCCTTCTTTCATATTTTCTCAGCTGAAAGCATTAGCTTTTGTTGTAAGGGGAATTATGGGAAGAGGTGGACAGTGAGAGGATTCCTTTCTATATTATTGCATCCCCTGAAGAATTTACATCACAGCACCTGCCAGGGTCTCCTGGAACCCTATACTGAATTGATTCTGTACCTCTGAGAAGCACAGAGGAACTGAGTATAAGCAGTGTAAAATGAAGCTAGCAGTGTTTCAACGTACCTAGTTGGTAACTGAATTTCTCTCCTGCTTTCTCATTTGGGATGTGTCTTTGGGTATCTGAAAGCAGAGCTCAGGCTCCTACAGTAGGAATTTCCACTCATGATTTGTGGTACATTGTTCAGTAATCCATACGAGGGAGCCTTTTGCTACACGGACAAGACCAGGAGTCAATTCCCATCCTCTTGCTCTTTTAGTTTACACGGTCCTGTGGATTTATCCCTCTGGCCACAGGAAAGATAGATTAAAACATGAGGACAGATACAACACCAAAGCACAATCCATGAAAGAAAATATTGATAAATCAGACTCTACTAAAATTAAAAACTCTGCTCTGAGAAAAATACTGTTAAGAAAATGAAAAGAAAACCTTCAATCTGGGAGAAAATATTTGCAAAATATATCTAATAAAAGACCAATATCCCAAATATACAAAGAACCCTTAAAAGCCAACAATAAGAAAACAAACAACCCACTAAAGACATAGTCAAAGACGTGAACTAACACCTCACAAAAGAAGATATGCCGAAGGCAAATAAGCATATGAAAAGATGCTCAACATTATATATCATTAGAGAAATACAAATTAAAATAACAATGAGATACCACTGCACACTACTCAGAATGGCCAAAATCCAAACACTGACAACACCAAAGGCTGACAAGGACATGGAGCAACAAGAACTCCTTCATTGCTGGCAAGAATGCAAAATGGTACAGCCACTCTGGAAGACATTTGATAGTTTCTTACACATCTAAATATAGTCTTACCATACAATCCAGTAATTGTACTCCTTGATAATTACTCAAGCGGGTTGAAAACTTTTGTCCAGGGGCAGCCTGGATGGCTCAGTGGTTTAGTGTCTGCCTTCAGCCCAGGGCGTGGTCCTGGAGACCCGGGATCGAGTCCCATGTTGGGCTCCCTGCATGAAGCCTGCTTCTCCCTCTGCCTGTGTCTCTGTCTCTCTCTGTGTGTCCCTCATGAGTAAATAAATATTTTTTAAAAAGAAGAAAAAAAGAAAACTTTTTCCACATAAAAACACACACACTAATGTTTGTAGCAGCTTTACTTATAATTGTCAAAATTTGAAAGCAACCAAGATGTCCATCAACAAACTATGGTATATCCATACGATGGAATATTGTTCAGTGGTCAAAAGAAACAAATTATCAAGACATGGAAGAAATCTACATGCACATAGCTGAGTAAAAGAAACCAACCTGAAAAGGTTGTAGGATTCCAGCTCTAGAACATTCTAGAAAAGTCAAAATTGCAGAGATAATAAAAAGATTGGTGGTTGCCAGGGGTTTGGCAGAGAGGGAGAGATGAATAGAATGGAATATAGGGGATTTTTATGGTAGTGAAGCTATTTTGTATGATACTCTTAATGGTAGATAAATCTGTCAAAACTCAGTGTACAACACAAAGAGTGAATCCTCATGTGAACCAAGGACTTAGGTTAATAATGATAATAGGCTCATCAACTGTAACATATGTATCACACTAAGGCAACATGTTAATAATAGAGGAAACTGGGAACTGGATGAGAGGGTATACGGTAATTTTGTGTTTTCTATTCATCTTTCTGTAAACCTAAAACTTCTCTAAAAAAATAAAGTCTGTTAAATAAAAAAGCAAACAAAAACATGGAGATAAATTTTGTGCCACCAATACTTTGAGAAAACTGATGCACTCCTCCCCTGGAAGGTGGCAAAGGAAGGCACAAATAAGGTGCCCCCACTCTAAGTATCAATGACTTGCTGTAATCTAGTATCCAGCTGTGGCTTTGAGTCTAAATATAGGGAAAGGACTTGTTTCATTTTTCCCTTGTGAATTGAAGTAAAACTACCTCCTTATTCCCTGACCTGGGTCCTCAGTTTTGATGTGTGTCTATCCTCATCACAGTATATTTTGACATAAGGTTATATCAATTTGCATTCCATTTGCATCTCTTCCCTTTTGGGAGTTGGCAATGACTGCTAGTTGTCGCCATTTCCACATTCCTCCTTCTTCCAGAGAAACAATATTTTTATCAGGGGGTGGGTGACTACCCAGAATGAAGGCTGCACTTCCCACTCCCTCTTGCAGCTAAGTGAGGCCAGGTGATTAAGTTCTGAACAAGGGTTTTAAGTGGAAGTGTGTTAAAGCATCTTTCAATATCCTCCCTTAAAAGACAACTGATGTGGACACTTTGCTCCTTATTTTTCATCTCTTCCTCTATCTTGGTGCCTAGAATGTGCATGTGAAGGCTGGAGTTCTAGCTATCATATTGGACCCTGAGGAACATGAATTAACACTAGGGATGGCAAAGCCAAATGGGGCCTAGATATCTGACAATATTTTAAGCACAGCCAGCACAGCAACTAGAAGGGTCTTCCAGACTTTTACTTCAGAGAGTGTGGAATGCACTGTCAGTATCCCTTAAAGTGGGCTAGATTTTTTTAGCTGCCATTAATTCCACCACTGTGAGTCTAAGGGCTCTTTTCCTAATGCTGTAGAAAGCCTCAGCTGCCAGTGTTCTCAGAAGGTCAAAGTGCTGAGAAATTAACCTTCTCTTGGATAAATCCTCACTAACGACTTTTGGAAGTTGGTATATAAATACCCCAGCTCCCTTGCTCTTTTGGTGGGATAACTGTGAGGTGTGTGTTTGGGGTTGTTTTCTAGAGTTTTCCCATAGGATTACACTTCAGTTACTCACAGAGGTAACTTGCTTGACAACATACCCTCTCCAAGTATAGCTCTGACATGACTATGGGTTGATAGTTTTATTTATATTCATGAATAAAATGAAAATGAAATAATGAAGATGTACGTTGGAACTTCAGTCATTAGTCAATGACATGACCAACTTTTTTCCTAACTCAGGTAAGAGTTTCAAATACTGTCACATTTTTAAAAAAATATTTTATTTATTTATTCATGAGAATACACAGAGAGGAGAGAGAGAAGCAGAGATACAGGCAGAGGGAGAAGCAGGCTCCATGCAGGGAGCCCAATGTGGGACTCGATCCCGGGTCTCCAGGATCACACCCTGGGCCAGCAGGCAGCGCTAAACCGCTGAGCCACCAGGGCTGCCCTGTGTGTAACAGCTACAGATACAACACACTTAACGTTGAATCTGCACTACTGGCTTTTTCTTTAGCATTCTAAGTCTAGACCAGGGCATGGGAAACTAGGGCAGACTAGACTATGTTTTATTGGAACACAGCGACACCCATTATTTGTTGTCTGTAGTGGCTTTTGTACTGCAAGGCAGGGTTGAGAATTATGACACAATCACACAATCTACAAAGCCTAACATATTTTACTATCTGGCCCTTTACAGAAAATGTTTGCTAGCAAAATAAATATTCAAGCTCTGATTTGTAGCATTTGCTGATTTGGGGTGGTATAAATATTCCCACCATTGCCAATTTCAAGCTACCAACCAACCAGAACTGCATTATGACTTTCACAAGCCTTAGGCACTTTTGTGTGTGTATTTTTTTTTATTTCAATATCTACATATTTAATACATAAATTACTTATTTATATATAATAATAGTACATATTAAAACTTTCAAAAAAAAAAAACTTTCCCTCCAACCCCAAAATTCATGTTTTCCTTCTGATTTTAAAAGAAATTGATTTTGGGGCACCTGGGTGGCTCAGTCAGTTAAGCATCTGCTTTCAGCTCAGGCATGATCCCAGGGTCCTGGGATTGAGCCCTGCATTTGGGCTT